AGTAGCTATGTTGCCCTCTGTCATTGCTCCCATTCCTCTAGAAAGGCTGCAAGAGACTTCCCTTGGTTGGTTCTTAGCACCAGTCGAGGCCTTGCTCCTTGGGATGACAAGGGGGGTGACGCTGGGAGGTGTGTAAATACCTTTTTAAAGTAGTACCATATTGCATTTGGGGTTGGGGACTGCAATGTTGGAGGAAATGGTACATTAAAGAGCAAAGTCTAACTGACCGTGCTGGCAGTGTGTTCACACAGGGTGCTCGCAGAGGGGAGCCGTTAAAATTGCCAGTGTATTCTTGGAGGCCTGGACCAAAGGGAAGCAAAACCCCCAAGACAAGGCGTCTCATCCCTTCCCAAGCTTGCTCTGTGCTGCCCTGCGCCATCGGCAGTGTGGGGCAGCTGGGGGTGCTGTGAACCAGGCTTGCAGCCAGACTTGGAGCTTTTTGGGTTTGAGCCACGAACTGCCCTGCACTACCTTCGTAGGAGCTCAGCAGGATGAAAGGCTACAGCTAAAAGAAGCCAAAACTAAATCTGTGGGGTGGTTTTTTTTCCCTTTCTTTAAATCAACTCTCCCAGGGGTGGCACAGCCAGGGTGCCTTGACTGCTGCAGAGACCGTGAGTTAGAGACCAGGAACAGCTCAGGGCAGCTTTTGCTTTTGCCTGCTTTGATTTATTAATGTTGTCCCTGCCTGCTATGTTGCTTGACACACTCCGGTGACCCTTTCCTGCTCCTTACGCACCAGCTCGGAGCCATGCAGCTTTGCCTGCGTGAACGAGACATGCGGTCAGCATTCACAGTGCTGCCAGCCTGGCTTTTGATGCTATCCACAACCTTTTGCCCACACGTCACCTCCATCACATCATTTTTATTACACGCTTTTTCCTTACAGCAAGCCCAGTCCCCACCTTGAGTCCTCCTGGGCCTCAGAGCCAGGCAGAGTGGCTGTAGTTGGGGTGCAGAGCAATGGTTAATTGTGGGAAAAAAACTGCGGGAGGGCAGGGGAGAAGACAAGAGACGGGTATTGGGGCGATTGAAGTCCTTCCTGCTGCTGGTGGGGGGCATGAGGGAGCAGGAAAAGAATACATGGGGCAAGCAGTGGGTGCGGGCCAGCC